CCCAACTAAGACCATATAAATTGAACAACCTCAAAGGCAGCCACTCTCCAGATTGAATCCGAGCATCTGCCTTGAGCCACCCTAATCTTAGACCTCATTCTTTTCTTATTAAGTGACATTTCCCCCGAGATGGAGGTTAAGAAATGAACCATTTATAACTTTGTTATCGCCTGGCCATTGTTGATAACTTCCTTTTTGTGCGTTAAGTGCATTCAAATTCTAATTTCCCGAGCCAACCTTTCGCCAAAGGATGCTCCTGGCTTAGGATCTGAAGGGCAGCGGGTCCTGGTAGCGGGTCCTGGCAGCAGGAGGGCCACTTTTTCTCGTGCTAAATGATTACACTTAACTAGATTTGCATATATTTAAACATTTCCTTATGCGCACGCAACACGAATTGTGTGCACGTGGTCCTGGCACTCGGCTCTCCGGCTGAGTCCTCTGTCCTCTGTTCTCTGTCCTGTGTCCTGTGCACAAAAGGATTATTAAGGAGCTTCATATGTAAATGAAAACCAAATGCACACGACGACGACGACGACGACGAGGCAGGGAGTGGGACAGATAACCTGGAAGCCACAGTTTGGCAAACACAGGCGGCAGGAGCCGCTCCAGCTTCGACTCCGAGCAGACAATGTTTGTCCTGGGCTCCGGAGGGGAATCCAGCCGAGCCAGAGCATGCGTGTGAGTGTGTGTGGAGAGGTGAGGCGGAGGGGGTGGCTACCTTTCGAGCCCGGCTAGAAAGTAGGTGAAAGCCAGAGGCAGACGGAAAGCCAAATGGAGTACCCCCGGAGCACCCGCACCCGCACCCGTTCGCTCGTTCGTTGGCCCGTAATTTATGCTTAAGATAAAGTCCTTGAATAAATACATGGAAAATCCTTTGAAATTGAAATTAAATACGAATATCATCTTTTTTTTATACATATAAGAGCGAGACGGAGCAGGCTGGAGGCTGAGGCTGAGACTGGGAGTGGGACTGAGAGGCACAGGGAAATGCAGACAAAAGGCGAACGGGAAATGAAATTAACATTTGAGTGCGCTTTCCCAAAATTAAACGAGACTCCGCAGGAGTTGGTTGGGGAGTCCGGCCCAAACACACACACACACACACACACACACACGCACAGACTCACACGTATTTATTTATTGAAGCTTCTTTGGGGTTTTAGATATGTGAGCCATCTTATTTAGCATTTTTGGCATTTTCCGACTGAGGCCAAAGCTCTCATAGATTGTGTGGCAAAACATTTTTCTTAGCCATTTGCCATATGAAATTAATTTTACAGTCAGCAGGCAGAGCTCCATGTGCAGCATTCGGTGGCAAATAAGCAGAGAAGGCATTTAAGGCGAATTTATTTTGAAAGCAAAGAGAGCGGCTGTGGTTACCTCTGGAAAATTGCAAGGAAATTGGAAAAGCATATATTCTTTAATCTAAATCACTTGGGACACTGGCTCTAAGCCTCGCTCTCGAAAAGTAATAAATGGCTGAGTGAGTTGCTGGCTAAATTTTAATTTCCAAGAGGCCTTTCAACTGCTGCATACTCTCTAGTCTTCTAGTCTCTTCTTTCTTTCCTCGAATTTCCGTTCCCATCTCTCCATTGTATCTCCATTTTGTCAAAATAAAGTTGTTTCTGTCCTGGCTTTGTGGCATCCACAGATTACATCGCATATCTGCCCTTGGACTTCCCCTGGGTATTGCATATTAACATCCTTCTGTGCTCGGCAGGGATGCCGTTTGAAGCGGCTTTTCATTAAAATTAATATTAATTTTACCTGAACACACAGATTTAAATTGCATTGCCAGTTGTTGCAGTTGCTGCAGTTTCCAGCTTTGGCCAATTGGCTCATATAAATTGCATTGCATTTTTCCAAGCGCCCCTTTGGCAAAGTTTTATTATTGGAAAAACAAACATATTTCAGGCTCTCTGTTAAACTTTTGTTATTGCATTTTGAATTTGCGGTTGTGATATGGAAAGTGGTAAGGGAGGGGCAGAGTGGGCGATGGGACAGAGGGGATAAAAGCCTCCGGCTTGGGCATAGAAAAGCAAAGCACAAAAATTAATTATGAAACATTGTTTGGAAATTGTGTAAATATGTATCAATGAAAATGCAAGGCAAACAAAGGATTCCCCCACCGAAACACAGATCCCGGCTCGTCCCAGGTGAGCCCCAAACATTTAAATGGGATTTGAAAGTGATTTCCAAATTTTCAAATCAATGCAAACTGTTTACAAACATTCGAAACAGGAATTGAAATATTTTCATAAGAATTACAATATCTCTGGGCCAAATGCCTCTTGACTGGCGACCGGATTCCGACACAGGTTTGGACAAATAAATCCCTCAAAACAATATCGCAAATTTCTCACTTTCCCCGCGATGGCCGCGATTCCAGCAATTTTCACGAATTTTCAGCAATTTCCATCAGGCCAACAATGCCAAATGTTAACCAGCATGGAAATCGCATTCAAATTTCGGGTGCCAAAATAGATGCATCATAGATTTGGTTACCTAGTCGATGAACAGTCTATGCCCGCTTTCCGCCTGCCGCCTTCCGCTTTCCGCCTTCCTCCGCCCGAAACCAAATCAAAAACCATCGAGAAGTGTCTAAAATGTGCAATATTGGAGGGGAGTGAGAGGGAGGAAGAGGGGCAACGAGGCCCATAGGCTATATAAATTTCAATCTATCATTTATTTAAGTCCTAGGCCAGCGGCAGAGGAGCAGGAGGCCCGGACGAGCGAGCCCAGCTCTCATTGCCATAAATCCCCATCAGAGATACGCGTATATTTATTTACTGCAGCTCGCCCAGATACAGATATAGTCACCCCCACGGACACACGGCCAGGCGGGCGGAGGGGGAGAGGACAGTCCTGGGCGACAAAAATTGTAGCCGAAAAATAAAATAGCTCCTCCTGCCACCTACTACCACCCATTGCCCATCGGCCACCCACCGAACTCCACCTCGTTTCATATTTTATTTGTGTTTTATTTCTGGCTTCTCTGGTCTTTTTCTAGTTTTCTCTAGCGGCGCTCCTGTTGTTCCTTTTCCCTCTGTAAATATTTTGGAAAATGCGTTTTTCTTTACTGTCGCCTGCCTCTGCCACTGCCACATTTGTATCTTTTCATGCACCTCGCTCGTCCTGTATATATATAGAAAGCGCAATGAAAAAGGATTTTTTGCCGATTCCCGCCGGGCTGCCAATTTTTATGGTTAAAATATTTGCGCTGCTCTCTTTGGAGCGCGGGAACCTGCTAAAATATTTATGACAAGCGCCGGGGAATACCCGGCGTACTATATTTCAATATAGCGAGAATAAAATTCTTAATGTTTGGTTGGTAATTAAAAAAGTCCAATTGAAAAGGCCCCGAGCGGGAGGGGAGGGTAGAAGAGATGATGGAGCGGGGACGTGAAGTGGCGGTCGTAAGTAGCCGAAATGAATTTTTATTGCTGTTCATTAGGCATCGAATGGCATCGAATCAATCAATTGTGGCATTTCAATTCCAGATCAGAACGAGATCGCATAGGGGTGGGCAGCATATGCAGAGGAGGGAGGAGGGGGTTCATTGAAAGGGAAACTAGTGGCTAAGCCGGAAAAGCCCTTCGATAAATGGGCTACATATTGTATCTGCCATCGGGGACCTTCGACATTGGCCATAGTATCCCGACAAAACTTTTAATTACCCTCTCTTCGCCTTTAGCTCTGTTCTCTCCGCTTTCCATTCTCTATTCTCCGTTCTCCGCTCGCCTGCATTCGGCAATTCCAATTAAGCTATCATATTCTTGTCTCGGAAACTTTCCCCGAATCAAAACTTGTGGCTCCCGCACCCTGCCCCTCTCCTCTCTGCCACTCCACCACCGGAACTGGGCTAACGAATATGTTCAATTTGGTTCCTGCCTGCCAGCCCAACACAACAAAAACTTTATCTTAATAATTTCCATATTCCATAAGTTGAACATTTTTCTACAGTCAAACTTCTATAGCCCCAAATTTTGCTCGAAACGCGAACAAACGAGGCGGCGTCCAGAACTTTGACATTTTCCATTCTGTGGTATTTATAACTTATGTTGGGGAAATTTAAAAACCTTAACTGTATGAAGATTGAATAATCATTAAAAGAAGAATTCGTTTCCGACTCAGAAATGTTAATTTCTCTCTTAACGAAGAGGGTTTCATAGCCTAACTATTCGATCACTTTATAAAGAAAATACTCTTAAGGATTACCTTTTTAGGTAATGAAAACTTTAAGAATCCTTCGTAAGTTGAATAAAATCTTTAAGATAGATTTCGATTTATGTTTCACGGTTATTTTTAAAAGTAGATAAGAGCTGATAGAAAACTTTGGGTCACTAATTTTATATCATCTATGCATTGTTTCCATTTCCACACCTATCAACTAGTTTAAAATAAATTGAAGTATTTTAAATGACTAAAGTTGGCTAAGAGAAGTTCGACTGTATCCTGCAGAGAGGATCTGGTGCAGGCGGAGGCAACTTTTGAGCCCTGCACCTGCAGCAGTCTTCCCGCTCTTGGCTGGGCCACTTTTCCCATTTTCTTTTGTAGCACAAATGCAGAATGCAAAACGGCAAAACCCCTAAAAAAAGGAAATACTGATTGAATGGCATTCCAGTGAAGTTGATGGATGCATTAAGGGGACTCCCCGCTACTCCCCTTCTTCCCTGTTATCACTCACACACACACACACCTACAGTTGGGCAGGCAAAGTTTTGTGGTAACCGAAAACACACACAAGGCGAGCTCAGAAACAGAATCAGAAACAGAGCGGAAAGGGACAGGGCAATAAAGAGGGAGCAGAAGGAGGAGACAGAGGAGACAGAGGAGTCAGAGGAGGAGCAGAACAAACCTGCATGTGCAAGGCACATATCTGTATAATGGATTGCACTTAACATGCCACATACAGCAACCACAAGTGCCGCCACAGGATCCCAGCCCCACCCCGCCCACTTCGCTTGGCTCTCAGGTAATACATCATTTACGGGACTCACCTGAGGCTGGAGATATCGGAAAGAGTCTGTCGCTACTGCTGGCGTAATCCCGGCAACGTAACGTCTAATCCTTTTGTTTACGTTTATGGTTATCGTTATCTGTGTTATCACACACACACTCACTCACTCGAAGTCGTACTCGTAGAGTGCAATTTAAATTTCGGCACACATTACGTGGGCGGCATCGCGCAGCTCATCCGCCCCGTTGCCAATTGTTAAATCCCGCAAAAAGCGCGCACACACACAAACGAGCGCACACACTACGTAAGCCGTAAAGCGGAAGCGTAACGGTTAACGGTTCGCGTCGCGTAACGTTCAGCCAGGCGTCCTCTTAATGTCCTGCAATTGTTGTTGCTGCCAGGATGCCGGCTCAAAAGAGCGAGACGGGCGACGTGTGTTTTGATTTAATTCGCAAATTATGTGCTGCTTAGTTTGCGGCACCGATTCAAAATTTCCAAATTTGCATATGAATAGGGAGCGTACTGTGAAACCGCGTTTACTTTTTTACTTTTCGCTTACAACGTTTTATTTACATATCTTCTATTTAAAATTCTTGAATAGAAGCCGCACACAATGTTTCACGCACTGTTCTGTCTCGCCTTTTCGTGTTTGACTATTTTGAGAGTTTTCCTTTTCGTGTCGTGTTAAAAGTGTTTTTTTGACGGACGTATCATCCGCCCCGTGCACCGTTCGCTGGGAAACTTCGAAAGTAACTGAGTTCACGTTCGGCGGGCCACCTGGCTACGTCACCTCGGCACTGCTGAGAGAATGAAAACACAGAGAGCGCGGTGAGAGCGCGTTCTTTGTTTACAACCCGAAAGAGAGCCGCTCTGTCGTTGCGCAGGCGTGCGAGAGAGCCTATGTTAATGTTTACATAATTCAATTTCCTTCTTCTTGGGCAATTACAGTTAGTCGCCGCTTCTAACAGGGCTTTCCCAACAGCGGCAGGTGCATCTGTCAATCGGCTCTGTTATGGGAAATTGAAATGCCAGACGGGCAATGGAAAAGGTTCAAATGCCATGCACGTAGGCTAATTACCGCAATGTAAACAACATTTTTGTGCCGCGCGCCATGCAAATTAACATTAGACAAAAGGCAATTGTTTTCGGCCACCGGATGGGGGAGTGGCCCTGCCCTGGCCTCTGGCTGAGCTTTATTAATTATACATATTTTTCGGCGCCTATTTAGCATGCCACATGTGAAGAGTCATTCAGGAAATGGAAAACTTTAATGGCTAATGAAGTTATCGATGGACTTTTAGATTCGTGAGAAGTCTATCCGTTCAGAACTGTCTTTTCTTCAGATAGGCATATAAATTGTTTAGGGTTCCTTAAAAGATACATTTTCTTACAATTGATTCAATTTTAGGTACATTAAAAGTAACGGATCCTCTCCATTGTATTTTACCTTTGCTATGAGAAGATATTAGTAATTCTTCAATGGACTCTTTAAAATTTCACCTAAGTACTACTACATACTATACTATCATAACACCCATCATCATATTACCCATATCATATCTAATGACTTGTACTCTTAAATTTAGAAAAATGTTTATAAGTGAGAATCGAAATCCCATTCGTAACATTAACAGTTAAATATCCCACGGGACAACTTATGTACATATTTCGTAAAATAAACATGTTAATAGCCGGTCCACTTGCACACACACTCACTCGCCCGTTTAACAGGCCCATAAACTAAAGGCTCTGCCTCTTAGCAGACTGTTAGCGGCGAATAGCGTGCATTGAACGACCCATTAACATTAACGGAACATCTCGAATTCATAGCAGCCGTGAAAGCGAAACGACACCATCAACAGCGTCAGATGCTCTCTCCTGTCAACCGAACGGGCCATTAACATTTAAATTAATGGCTGTTAACGGCCGCTGTTGGCACTTGCAAGCTGCGACATGTTCTTGCCCTAGGTTAACATGTAAACAAATGCGCTGTTAGAGGACTCTGTTATTCGGTTGAACAGTAGTTGTAGGCAGAAATGTTATTCCTTCTCTTCAAAGAGATTTTATATTAAAAGAATGTACTTGCTCATTAAATTCAAAATAAATATAAAAAAATAATAATAAATATATTTCGAAAATATGTCAGATTAAAGATATTTTTAATAGATAGTGAGGTAAATAAAAGTAAACTTAAAGCATTTCAAAATAAACCATTCTTATTGGCTTTATCAAACAAATAAAATTTTAAGCCTCCATTCCATTGAAATTGCACTTTAATGATTTTTTTTGAAAGTGAAAAGAATTGATCCATCCACCTGTAGACCAACCTTTTGATTTAGATGAGTAATACCATACTTTAGCAACAGATTAAACGAAGGCGAAGCCCCAGAAGTGCCTGCATTCCATTGTCAACCGCACAGAGCTGTCAACTCTGTTAGCACAAACCAGTTTCAATTCAGTCAGTTAACACGGGATAACTAACAGCAGAAGAGAGCGGAAACCGGTTTCTCTCTCAGGCTCACTCTCTCACTACCTCACCCATTGTACTTACAGCTTCCGTGGCCATTAACATTTGGGAACAGCTCTGTTATCACAGGCCCGAAGGTCTTTTGCCATTCTGTTGACAGACAAGATTTCAATGTCACAATTACTGAGAGAAACATCAAAAGAGAGCGGGAAAAGAGCGGGAGAGCGCATGGCATGCGAAAGAATTTATTACAGAGTTCAAAACGTTTTACATGGCAATCGCAATGCCATTTCCACGCTGTCTCTCCCGCTCTCTCTGGCCATTCATCTCTCTCTATAGGGGGTAGTGGGTTGGAAGGGAGAGACGGGGGCTGCTGAAATGGTACATTAATAAATGAGTGTTATATGCTTTGTCCTAGTTGACTTCATGACATTCATTCATTCATGGGATCGTCGGAAGTTCCTCTCTTCCGGTTCCGAATTTCCCTTCCCTCTCCTGCTGGATTTCTCCTCCTTTTGGGGCATCTTTCGGGTCCTTAATTGGGTTTTTTATTAACTAAATTGCGTAAATTTAATATTATTTATTATTTATCTGTCCGCTGCATTTCGAATTCATTTCGCCTTAATTTATTTATGTCAGCTTTTTCATTCCCCATTTTCCCGTCGACATCGTTTTTCCCAATCCATACCAGCCTACGATTGAGCTCTTAAATTATTAATTATTTTCAGTTATTTATTTGTATTTATTTTCCGTCTCACCTTATCCCAGCCTTTTTTCGTGTATTGATTTTGCAGTCATTAGTTTCCTCGCTGTTTGTTTTACATTTTATGTGCATTTTTAATTAGCTGACAGCATTGTTGTTTTTCCCTGCTCCGCCCGACAGCTTTTCTCTTTGTTTTTGCTGTTGCTTTGTTGTTGTTGTCCGCTGACCTTTGACACACTCGTAGAAAAACGTTGACAGTTTATGGTTGGCTTTAATTGGTTCCATCGCCGCTCGCCATTCGCCGCTCGTCAAAGTTAATGTAAATGGCTTGTCAATCAATCAGTTGATGGCTCCTGCCTCCTGGCCTCCGGACTCACTCGGATATGGATTGAAAGCCCGTTTTTTACCCTCTGCCGGGGGATTAGTGTAGGGTCCATGGTCAGTGTCCTTGGGTCAAAGGGTGCAGCGGGTGCAAAGGGAATAAGTTAATACCGTCGGCGGCGGGTAATACACATGTTATTGTTGTTTTGGTAATCCAACAAAATTGGTGAGTGGTATTTGGGGGAGGGGTTTCTGAGTAATCAAAATACTCCTTGACCTTTTTTATAGTCACCTTTTTTTGTTATGTTCTTCGTGTGCCTTCAATATTAAACCATTTACAAATCTGAAACAAAGTGCCATGAGAAAGATTCTATCTTACAGATCAATAGAGCAAAAATATGGTTTTGATTCATATTAATGTGGGAGTGGCTACTATAATATCACTTCTAAATACACCCAACTCTGTAGACAAAGAGAAGGACTGAATATCAAGAACAGCAGAAATAAAAGACTAAAACGTCGGAGAAGATTAAAGTAACAGACGAAGAGTTCAGCGAAAAGAAGAAAGAACGACGACAGAAGCAACAATTATAGAATGACCACCACTACGGGTAAGTAGACAATAATGTATAATTTATTAAGAACTCATTATTTGAGTAAGTTTTTAGCTGCTAAATCAAAGTTAAAGAGAAGTATTACATACCCTTTTTAGGTAAACCATTTACCAACAACACTCAAAAAGAAATGATATGAAATCTCTCAAAATTTCAACTTATTTCAGTCTTCATAAATTTACCAGTTTAAGGAAAGAAGTTAAAGACACATTCAATTAACAATAATTATCTGCTGACCCAACATTAAGATTACTATTTCTTCTAAGAGTACATTATTTTCGAGCAGATCCCAGCCCCTATGAAATCACAGAATCACAAGATTCTTATCTTTCATTCACGAAAAGAACTCTCTTCAATTTCTCCTGGTATCATCGTCGTAACTAGATTGACAGATCACCACTCATAAATGTCTCTTAAGCACCCAGGGTCATTAACCCACGGCATCCCTCTTTCTACTATTTTGAGTCGTCAGGGTCATCCATCAGCCAAGTGCATGCCACATACAATGTACGGCTGCACTTCACGCCCTTGCCAACCTTCTCTTTCGCTCTCACTCCTATGGCATGGGGCACGATCTACATACCTGTTACCTGTTGCAGGTGAGTGAGCCCACCAATCAGACGATCTCTTGCCCGTTCTGTCCCCTGGGAACAGATTGCTTAGCGACCATTGGCGAGCAGCTAGATCGGCGACCCCGATAGTAAGAGTATTCTCCGGAAACTCCCTTTTTTGCGCGATGTTTTTGGATATTTTGATGATTTCGTGATTTCGATTCATATATCAGAAGAAGAAGTCGCAAATGATTTTGTGGTAGAATTGGTGTGTCCAGATCAGGCCCTTAGAATTCTTTTAACCTTAAGGAATAATCAAACTCTATTAAAACACATTAAAATACACGTTTGTGGGCAATACAGACTGTAGAAAAAACGATAAGTTTTTGATGATTAAGTTATTATTCAAAAAAATATTTGAAACTGGACCTTAGTCTATCACTTTGATAAGAAATTGTCAATTCATTTTTTACCCTCACGGAAATTATATTTCATTTTGCAGAACAAAGAGTCAGAGACGAACAGTCAAAAAGTAAATGTGTTCTCATTAAATCAGTTTAAATCTCTTTTTATGACAAATAGAAGAAAGCTCTTAGCCATGTAAAGTGTCAACTTTGATCCCAAACTTATTATTGGTTTATTTCCGATTGCCTTAACTAGCAGACAATGTCGAATGAGAAAAATTAAATAATTAGCTGGCAAGCGGAATAATTTTCGAATCACTTACAAAGTGGTTAAATATTTATTACTAACGGCAAGGCTATAACTCCACAAAGAGCCAAACATGCAGACATTCACTTTTTCACATTCCTCCGGCATTTATTCTCTCGAGAAACGAGAAGTTGAGAACTTTTGCACTTAAATTTCATTTGGCGATTGTCCAATTTCCATGATGCATTTCCATTAATTTATATAAATTTATGCAATTACTTTTGTTTATTTACTTGACCAGAGCGCCCCCCCATCCTGGATCCACCCACACGCTCTGCGGTCTCATGTTCGTCCTGTTCTGGTCTCCCTCCATATCTCCCGCTCCTTGTTTGCATTGTGTTCCAGTGCATTGTCCTTGCAAAATATTTGGGTCAC